TCACCGTCTGGCTGATCAGTCTCTAGGTGGCTATCTGATCCACATAAGGTCAGCGATTGCCTGTGGTGAAAGTTGGCAGGCCTGGCAAGGCACTGCTAATGTTTAGGGAGATGTTTTATTCCTTGCCTGTACAGCATGTAAGAGAAAAAGAAGCCCTGCACACTGGATCAACGTCGTCGGATGTCATCAAGACCAGTGTCACGGTAGTCCAGTTGCACAGGACGCCATAGATTTCGGACCAAAAGACTCAACTCAACGAATTGCCATGGAGATTGTCTCAGGCCTTCACCTACAACGCCACGACAGTCTTCACCAACGCCGTTCTTCACGCCCTTCTCGAAGCTGCAGGGCGCATCAACTATCACGTAATCGCCTTGCAGGAAACAAAGTCCAGGAAGAAGGACGAGAGGCAGCTGAGTGATGGCACACATCATTTGTGGTGAAAAGGTTCCATCATGGAAAGTTGGAGGCCTTGGATTTATCGTACACCCATCTGTTGTCCATATTGTCGATTCCCATGAGATCCTATCACCTCGCCTGGCTATCCTTCGCCTCCGTCCTCCGCATCAGAAAGCCATCACTATCATCAACTGCTATTCTCCAACATAGCAGTTGATGATTCGGAACTTTATGCTTTTTATGAGGATTTGGAGGAAGTCATCCGCAAAGAAAACTCCTTCTATAAGTTCGTCGTGGGTGACTTCAATGCGAAAATCGGGATGCCAGAAGAAGGGGAGGACAGCATCGGGAGATTTGGATCAGGACTCCGGAATGAGAATGGTAACCGCCCTGTTGGGCTCTTATCCGCCGCAAGACTTCTTCATGGCAACTCCTTTTTCATGAAGAAAGATCACCGGCAGTGGACATGGGAGTCACCCAACGCTACGACTCATGCGGAGATCGACCACATTCTCACCAATCGAATGTGGCGCTCGCTGGACGTCTCAGTGCTACCATCCTTGAGTAGTGGCTCAGATCACCACCTCCTTCGAGCATAAGTGCGATTCAGCCGAAAGCTGGAAAGGAAGATCTGCCACCGTGTTGGAGGAAGGAGAACCGTATATGACGGCGTCTGATAGGAGGAGCTTCTGACCACTTGTGACTGGCCTATCGAGGAGGACCCGACGAAAGCATACGACTCGCTTCTAAGAGGACTGAGAGCATGTGTAAAAGTGCCTCAATGTTTCGCACAAGGAACTTGGAACGAATTTCGCAAGCCGCCAAAGATCTGCTAAAGAGGAGAAGAGCAGTGAGGCTAGATCCGATTGCATCACATCTCGATCGCCAATACCAGTTGCAGAACAGCTTTGCAAGAAGATTTTCAAAGGTGCAGGCAATCGAAACTTTTGGAAGCAGCACAAAAAAGGAGAAGTCTAAAGAAGTACCGCAGGGCCCTTCTCGACTATCATGTTCCTCTGACAACATTACTAAACGAAGACGGGACTCGCACACCTTTTCGACAAAAGATGGAATCGATCGCAAAGAGATTTTACACCAATCTCTTTCGCTCGTCAACAACCGTGTCAAACCCCGTTATTCCCACTGGAGAAA